TTGTAGACTTTAGTTGCAGATATGGATGTTAGCTGCAGATGTGGTGGATTGATGCCTTGCAATTTCGCTGGCCGTCCATTCACCTTGAATTCAAGAGTTTGAAGTTGCCAATCACACTGCATTGGACTGTGGCGCTGCAACCAATCAAAACCCAGGATAGCGTCATAGGGGTGCGTATCCAGTATTATCATATCAGCAACTAGTGTGTGACCCTAACAATACCATTCCAATTGCTTGACCATTTTATCAGCCACTATCCACTCATCATTTGCGTTTCACTTTGCGAGGTGACATAGGCACAGTTGGCAGGCCAGCTAATTGGGTGAACTGGGCACTTACAAAGCTATGAGAACTGCCACTGTCTAATACAGGAAGCATAATCTTATTCTTGACCCTGGTTTTCAGCTTTTATCTTTGTTGCTTGAATCATCGCTTTCGGCAATGCATTGAGGGACAATTGACAAAATTGGTCTGGTAAAGCATCCTCGATAGCTAATTGATTGAGAACATCATCACTGAGTTCTCTATCCAAGTCATTGACCACAAGAGCATTGCTATGTGGTTTGGTTCTCTTGGAGCAGACCTCATTATGTCCTGGTTCAAATTTCTCTCCCACTGTGTGTAGCACAACCCATTGGCCTTCCTCTGTAGTCCCTCATTTTGCCTATCCCTCCATAGAGTACTAGAAGTTTGGGTTTGGCTTGGTCTCGATTACTGTGTTGTGTGTTTTGCTTGGTAAGTATAGGAGCCTTCTGGTACTTGTATTTCCCTTTATCAAGCACATTTTGCTGAATTCTTGCTATAATAGCAGCCCTGTGTACAGTTGTTGGTACCTGGGGCTCAACCACTACCCTGATTTCATCTTTCGGTCCTTCGACATAATGGGAGGTGAAGAAAAGGTCATCATAGTGATGACTATGCATAGTGATATCAAACGCAATTGCTCAAACTTGGTAGTATAATCCTCCACAAAGGTGCTGATCGTATGAGATCTATCAATTCGGTGGAGAGCATTTCTATAATCATAGCTCCAAATTGTTGTTCCACAGCCAAGCAAAAGGTTAGCCAAGAGATCTTAGTATGTGTCTGTTTATAGGCCTGGTACCACTTGGCAGCATTGCCCTCTAGATGCATTGTGACAGAAGACACCCAAAGTCTCTCAGGCACATTATAGATAGAGAAATAATTGCAGCAATTGTCAATCCATATCTTTGGATGACTGCCATCAAACTTGGGAAAGAGCATTTTAGGCAGAGCATGATGAGGTACCCCTTCTCCCTTGTCAGGCTCAATTTTGGACCTGTGAGACTTGGACTACTCAGGTTTCTTAATCCCCTTGTCCTTGGCAAACATGTTCTGGAAATGTTCTTCATCTTCGTACACTAGGGAAGATGAACTATGACTGATAGATCTGTTCTCCTCTTCGAAATGCCGCAGTGTCAGTTGAGCCACTGCCTGCCCATTAGCTCTGACTTGCTGAGCAATGAACTGTTGATCTGCAGAGCACTTGTCAACTTTAGCGTTGTTCAACTTGTTAGTCGTTGAACTCTCACTCTCGGTAGTAGCAGAATTCTTATTCTCATCGAGAGAGGATGACACTAGGAGTTGGGGCAATTTTCTGGTTTATTTCTCACACAAACTCACACAAATGCCATGCCAACCTGAGGGGTTGGGGATACATATTTATAGGCTGCTAGCCAGCCAAGCATATGCCAAGATACTAGTCTAAAATGCTAATATACTGTCCTCTAAGATGCTGTCCTAAGATGCCTCTAAGATGCTATCCTAAGGATGCTAAGATGCCAGTCAAGGATGCTGCTGCTGCTGTCCTCTAAAAACAAACCACAATGACTGCTGCAGCCCCACAAAGACCACAGAGACTTATCCATCACAACTCAATTTGAGTTTTCATCTCCTGCTGGACAATACCCATATCAGTCATACAATTGAACAAGAGATCAAAATGGTCCATCACCTGGTCCCATTTGGACTGGTCATCATCAGCGCTCTTAGTCATCTGATCCAATAGAATTTGTGTCTGCTTCAATGGTTTAGGATTAGAAGCCTTAGACGGAGCCGTGACTGAAACTGGTGAAGCAACAAGTTTAGATCACACCTCCCCTATTGTCTGCTCCACACAACAACTAATCACCGCCGCCTGGAAGTGAGGCTTGACCGAGGAATTTTACACGGGAGCAGGTGCCCTGCACCCCAAGTCGATGGACACTTCCCCTCCGAACGCCGCCGCACCGCAATTGAACCAGTTTGCTACGAAATTTTACACGAGAACAATCGCCTCGCAACCCTCGCCACTGATTCAAGCGTGCTAGAATGAAATCGAGTGAGAGGTTTGAGAAATTCTCACAAACGGTTCACGCCACCGAACCAAATTTGTTGATGTAGTCCCCCAGTCGAGAATCGTGCCTTTGAGGATGGAATTGCCGATTTTTCTTTGGTGATTGCGTCCGCTCGAAGTCTATTGTTGACGAAGAGAACCCGTTGCAGTGCCACCACACTGATGTAGTGTAGGAACTGCGCCGGATCCAGGTAGCTATGGAGGAGATGGGGTGGGTGGATGGTAAGTTGGTGGATCTCGGAATAGACGAATCCGACGCCACTAGCTGACCCGATTCAACCAAAGGAAGGATTTACGGGACCTCTCGCCCACACCACAAGGATGCAGGATTGAGATCAACCCACCGACCGGAATTACGAATCGATGATCAAAGCTGAGTGGAATCGAGAAACGTGGCCGAGGATAGACCGGTTCTGATACCACTGTAACACCCGTGGCCGCCGGCGTCAAGCCGTCGACGTGAGCACTACGAGAGGCACAGATCGGGGGAGAAGACGCCGGCGAGGAAAGCCCCTGCCTTAGCGTGTTCGTGTTTTACATTACTTGTTCGATAAGATGTTCGCTTACAATGTCCAGGCATATGTATGCCGGAAAGACTCTGGCCCTGGGCCCACGTTACAGACACTGAGTAACAAAGTAAATAATGAAAATACGCCAAGCTATTAGGAAGACGCCTCCACCGATGTTCTCCTGCTCAGTGTTCCGCTGTGTCACCTGTGACAGAGATAAACTTCTGTTCGAACAAGATTACGCAGGAAACATAAAGGAGAAGGTTCCACCTAGGTCCTCTCTTCATATACCTTGGAGCTGGTTGCCTGCTGCTCTGTGCGTCTTGCGGGAGGTAATGCATAACACGGACATTTCTCGTCAAAATGTCTGTGGAACCAGTCACGCCACTATCAAGCAAATGCTGGTTTTGTTTGGTTGAGACTTTTCACTTTAATTGGCTATATGTTCAGTGAGTTCGTAGTTACAGCGACCACCAAAGTGATATATATTTTGTGGAGTACCGTCTGTGCTTGTTCTTTATTTTAGATCTGTCTTTTTTTTCTTGGTAACATACAATTCACATGTTAGGTCTTGGATTTAAGACGCCAAATTATGTAATATAACTTAATAGGAATAGAGCAGAATCTGTAACTTAATGTCCATAGGCTCTGAAATAGTCGCGAAAGGGCATACCCAGGTATAGATGGCCAACGGGTTTCGACGCACGGCACTACCGAATTAACGGTGCTTACACGTGCTTCAGTGCTTCGGCCAGGCCTCCAGGATACTCCACCGGGCACGGCCTTGCCCGCCTGTGCACGGGCCTATGGGGCGATTGCGTCGTGCGGGCCAGACCCAGAAGCACGGCCATTTTCACAGCCGTGCCACCGAGGCCCACTGGTTGGTGGCTGCCGACAGAGAGAGAGAGGGGAAGGGCGACGCTGTTCACTGGATCCGCCGGAGAAGGGAGGGAGGGAGGACGCGGGGAGCGGATCCGCCACGGAGGAGATCCGCGTCGTCCTGTGCTGGATCCGTGCCGGAGGTGAGCCGCCGGAGAAGGGAGGGAGGGAGGACGCGGGGAGCGGATCCACCACGGAGGAGGAGATCCGCGCTGGATCCGCGCCGGAGGAGAGCCGCCGGAGAAGGGAGGGAGGGAGGACGCGGGGAGCGGATCCACCACGGAGGAGGAGATCCGCGCCGGAGGAGAGGAGAGCGGAGAAGGGAGGGAGGGAGGAGGAGAGCCGCCGGAGAAGGGAGGGAGGGAGGACACGAGAGCGGATCCGCCACGGAGGAGGAGATCCGCGGCGTCCCGCGTTGGATCCGCGCCACCCCTGCCCGGAGACGTCCGCGCCGGAGGAGAGCCGCCGGAGAAGGGAGGGAGGGAGGACGCGGGGAGCGGATCCGCCACGGAGGAGGAGATCCGCGCGGCTGCAGGGGCCGCGCGAGCTCCGCCGCGGGGGGGCACGCGAGTTCCACCGCGGAGCGCCGCTGCAGGGGCCGCGCGAGAGGGAGGGAGAGGGGCGCCATTGTTGCGCCGGGAGAGAGTGAAGGAGGGAGAGATCGACGGCGTGTGAGGGAGAGAGGGCGCCGCATCCGTGCGGGTAGGATTAGGGTTTGGGGTGACGCGGGAGGAGGCGGCCGAGCGGAGTCCCCGCTTATATACGCCGGCCACGGGGGGGGGGGCGGCGCGGGGAGGCGGCAGGCCAGGCCGCTAGCGGGCCGGCTGCTCTGTAGCGGGCCGACGTGCCTGGGGTAAGGCCCAGGCACGGCCTGCTCCTCCGTGCCGGGCCAGCCCGGGCCCGCTAGACGCCGGGCCGTGCCGTGCTTGGGCCGGGCCGACGGGCTCGGGCTGCATGGCCAACTATGTACCCAGGTATCTTTAGGATCATTTTGTGCTGCGTTTATAATAATAACTTATGTCCTTTCTTCAGATCAGGACATCAGGCAAGGCAGTGTAAAATGCCGAAATTGTCGCTATTGAAAATTTTCCATGCTGAAATGCACTGAGCTTTGAAAACCCAAGCATGAAGGATGTCTTAGCATCCCAATTATCAAAGTTAAACATGCATATTTGGCTTACCATTATGTACTGCAAAGTCTGCAGTACTGGTCTATTTGCTCTTCATCCATGTATGATGTTGCAGTATTGTTTCAGGTTGGAGAAGAGAAGCTTGTTTTGGAAATTGGTCAGGCGGCTCTACGACACCCTGATTCTAAACCTTATGTTCACGATGTGCTTCTTGCAATGGCATTAGCAGAAGTAAGAATAGCATAAGAATCCTTTTCCATATTTTCTTTAAGAGCTGCTCGATGAAATGTTTGGGAACCCCTCTCACATTTAGATGGTTTCATTCATTTCATTGTAGTGCTCTATAGCAAAAGCCAGCTTTGAAAAGAGTAAAGTGTTCCTTGGATTTGAGGCTCTGGCACGCGCTCAATATCTTTTGAGGAGAAAACCATCTTTGGAGAAGATGCCCCTTCTTGAACAGGTATGATGTTATTACTTCTACATGAACAAGTTCTTCTAAATAGTAAATACAAAATCATGCCATAACTTATTTCATTGGTGATCCAGATTGAAGAATCACTTGAAGAGCTTGCACCTGCTTGCACTTTGGAGCTTCTAAGCTTGCCTCAGACACCTGAAAAGTCTGAACGCAGGCAAGGTGCTATTGCAGCTCTCTGTGAACTGCTTAGACAGGGCCTTGATGTTGAATCATCTTGTAGAGTCCATGACTGGCCTTGTTTCTTGGGTCAAGCAATGGACAAACTATTAGCCACTGAAATTGTGGATCTTCTTTCTTGGGACACTTTGGCTACAACTCGTAAAAATAAAAGATCATTGGAGTCCCAGAGCCAGCGGGTTGTAGTTGACTTCAACTGCTTCTACATGGCGATGCTTGCTCACCTTGCATTTGGATTTACAACCCGCCAGACTGAGTTGGTACCCTCTTTTTATCACCCACTTGGCAGCCTGTAGAAGTTGCTGTGTTTTTTTTTTTTTTGCGTTGTTTTAAATTTGTTTTACCTCTGTGCAGATCAAGAAAGCTAAAACCATCTGTGAATGTTTAGTTGCATCTGAGAGCACAGACCTAAAATTTGAGGAATCTTTTTGCTCATATCTTCTTGGAGAGGTTATAAACTTATTATCTCAACTTGAATGAGCATTACTAGGACTAATGATTACCTCTCAGGAAACTGGCACCACAGTGTTTGAAAAGCTTCAGCAGCTTCAAAGTACTGGAAGTTCAAATTCGAAGAATTATGGGTTAGATAAAAAGAAGGACAGCAGTGACAAGGTTACTGTCAACCAATCACTGGTATGTTGCATCTGTTCAATTATAGCAAATAAGCTACTCCCTCCGGTTTCCTAAAAGATGTCGTTTTGGACAGCGACACGGTCTCCAAAAAACAACTTTGACCACTACTTTTTGCTATAAAATATTTATTAAATATAGTCCATATATACTTTTATGAAACTACATTTCGAGATCAATCTACTTACATCACTTTCATATTTTCAAACTCAACCCAAAAGAATTTATTTGTAGTTAAAGTTTAAAATGTTTGACTTAAGGCAACCTCAAAACGACTATCCTTTAGGAAACCGGAGGGAGTATATTCTACATTACTGGCTCATATATCTCATGGCAGACAGCTCTTTTTTTTTACCAGGAACTGTGGCTGAAGGATGTGGCCCTTTCTCGTTTCGCAGATACGAAAGATTGTCCTCCATCTTTGGTTTGTACAATGCTACTTTTAGTAATCACATCCCCACAACATCTTCTGTGAGGTAATTTAGTTCTCTTATTCTCTTATGGCAGGCCAACTTTTTTGGAGCTCCTAAGCGCGTCCTTAACACATCCAAGCAGAAACTGGGATCCCCAAGATCAGTCCTTTTGATCTCTCAGCCGTCTTCTAGTGCCTCAGCATGCAACAGAACTTCAGCAGAGCAGACCAGATTGAGTCCAAACAGCCATCTGGGGGAGTCTGTTAAGCAACTTGCACCTGCCAACTTGGGGCTCCAATCATCAATGGATAGGCAAGTAAATGGTTCAGGGACAGCTTCTGTTCCCCTGAAGCGAAATCCTGGATCCCATCTCAGAACATTGGAATTATGGGGACTAGGTGGAGACGTTATACGAAAGCTTGCCTATAGTGCACTCCTAGGCTTTGTTGTATTTAGCACATTAAAATTGGTCAAGTTTCAGTTTCGGCATGTGAGATACACGAACCCAAGTAGAGAGTCTGCAACCGTGTCATCCTTGAATGAAGCGTCTGCATCAGAAGGTTCTTTTATCACCAGTGGTGTCAGGAAGCATTTTGAAAATTTGTCAAAATTGCTTTGGCTGAGTGATAGGCTTAATTCAAATAGCGCAGAAAGTGATAAGCACCCAGCAGCTAATGATATCACTGCTGCAGTTTGTAAGCAAAAGATGGATATTCAAGAAGCACAAGCACTTGTAAAACAGTGGCAAGACAAAATCTGAAGCTCTTGGCCCTGACTATCAAACTGACATGTTACCAGAGATTCTTGATGGTTCAATGCTCTCTAAGGTGTGTTTATGTGTCGGTTATCTATTTGCATGTGCTATTGCTTTACCTTTATTTATTTTATGCGTAATCAAATGCAATCTTTTGGAACAGTGGCAAGACTTAGCGTTGTTAGCAAAGGACCAGTCCTGCTATTGGAGATTTGTGCTGCTGAATCTTAATGTTGTTCGAGCTGAGATAATCTTGGATGAAGTCGGTGCTGGTGAAGCAGCAGAAATTGATGCTGTGCTTGAGGCGGCGGCTGAGCTTGTTGATGGTTCCCAGCCCAAGAAACCCAGTTATTACAGGTATTTTCAGTAGATATCTTTGCTGTTGATTATTCTTTCATGTTCTGCTCTACGACGTAAACATGGTAATTGTATCTGTATGGTTATAATCGCAGCACATACGAAGTTCAGTACGTATTGAGGAGGCAGAATGATGGATCTTGGAAAATCTCCGAGGCTGCTGTCCGGGACCTGACGTGATTTCTGCCAACTGGACAAACGGACTACGGAACCTTCAGCGGATAGGTCACAGGCAGTGCTGATCTTGTGAAGTTCCAACATGGCGATCTTAACCCATTAGAAATATATAGTGGTACTATTAGGTTACCTGCAAATCAATTTGAGTTCGTTGCAATAGTTAGCCGAGTTCCATTGGGATGCTCGATTGCTCGAGGTCTTGACCTGCTTTCATGGCGAGCTCAGGAGACTTCTCGCTTCAGGATTTGACACAATAGTTGCTTGCAGTACAGATGCTAACCACTGCTGATACCACATCCTTCCTTTCCCGATATGGTGTGAATTATGTTTTTTAGTTTTACCCACGTGTAATTGATTTTTTTTTTTGATAAAGACGTGTAATTGTATTCGTGACCGCCATTGTTCAAAGAACAATGCAATTCGCTGAATTGATGTTTTGTGTTTCACAGTACCTGTCTGTTACTACTTTGTGCGACTGCAACCTAGCTCAATAAAGACCCTGTTCGCTTATACGATGAGACGTACTATTTAAGCGAATAAAAAAGTATTTTTTTCTCTCATAACAAATCAGCAAATAGTTTCAGTCATGGCTTTTCAGTAAAACGAACAGAGCCAAAGGCAACTTGCGCAGTTTTACTCATAGTATTCTTGTTGGATCTATAATGTTGTTATTAACAATGTTGCTATTAACCTCGTTGAGTAGGTAGCCGTGATTCGGAATTTTGGCGCAAGGTCTCGTGATCTGCCTATGATTTTGAACACCAAGCGTGCTTTGTTATGACTTATGAGTCTGTCTGACGAGCGACGACAGTTGATGCCCAGATCTCACCGTCTTCCAGCCCACCTCGAGGCCGCTGCCGTGTGCCGCCTGGGCCTCGCGTCGTGGTCGCTCGTTACGCCTACGCATCCGCGCCGCAAATTCGTTTCTTCTCTGCCTCCGCCATCCTCTATGCCCGCCGGCACATGGCCGGCCGCAGCCGCAGCTACCTCCGCCCCGGTGTCAGCCGTGGTGCGCGCGGCCATGCGCAAGCTCGGCGGTCTCCTCCCCCGCGCGCACCGCCCGCACTCCACCACGGCGGCCCCAGACGCCGCCGCCGTCACGCCGACGTCGTCGCACACCCTCCACGACTACAACCGCCTCCTGGCAGCGCTCGCGCGGGACGGCGACGGCGACGCGGCGCTCCGCGTGCTCCGCCGCATGCGCCTCTCGTCGCCCGCGTGCGCGCCCACCGCCGCCTCCTACACCTCCGCCATGTCGGCGCTCGCCAAGGCCAGTCGCCCCGCCGACGCCGCGTCCCTCTTCGACGACATGCTCGCCAACGGCGTCGCCCCCGACCGCGCCGCCTTCTCCCTCCTCCTGCACGTCTACTCCTCCCACCTCCACCTTCCCGCCGCCGCGCACTCCGTGCTCCTCTGGATGACCGGACTCGGCCTCCCGCCGACCCCCATCGACTACGCCGATCTCATCTTCTCCTTCTGCCGCGCTGGTCGCCTCGACAACGCCCTCCAGCTGCTCGACGAAATGCGCGCCCTCAATTACCCGCTGACACCACATACATTCGCCCCGATCCTCAAGGCAGTCTGCGATAATGCCGACATCCAGGCAGCTGACGCGCTCATAAGCTCCATGCGCTCCTCTGGTTGCCTCCCTGATGTCGTCATCTACAATATATACATCCAGGGGTTGTGTAAGATCGGGAATTTTGACGCTGTCGACAGGGTTATTTATGAGAGTGCCCGGAATGGGTGGGAACCAGATGCAGTCACATACAGCACCTACATTGTTGGGCTTTGCCGCTCTGGATACATTGAGGAAGCATTTCGGCAGCTGGAAACTATGGTAGCAAAGGGACTACAGCTGACAGTAGTTGGTTTGAACATACTGTTGGACCACGTTGCCCAGAATCTTGATATGTGGGTAGGCAAGGAGGTCCTGGAGCGGTGCCAAGAGCTGGGCTTTGTGGTCGATGTTGTGACATACAACACAGTCATGGATCATTTCTGCAAGAAAGGGAAGTGGCTGCGTGTCCTAAAGTTGTTCACGGATCTGCTCAAGAAACCAATAACACCCAATGTGCAGACATACAACATTTTGATTTCATGCCTATGCCGAGCTGGCAAGTTTGAGTTTGCCAGGTATGTGTTCAGCAGCAAGGGGTTCGTGGCAGACACTGTGACTTGTAACATTCTGATCCATGAGTTCTATGAGGCCGGAAAGGAAGGTGAGCTTGGTTTTTTGTTTGCTGATGTGAATGCTGGGAAGATTGCCCCAGATACCATCACATACAATACACTGGTTGATTGTCTCTTTAGGTCTGGGAGGAGGTCGCAGGCTGTCAATTTTGTTAGGCATATCGATGGTGGCTACCCTACGGAGCCCGTTGCCCATTTGACATATTGGTTGGTTAGGAGTGGAAATATACGTGAGGCATTGAGGCTGTTTGATGATATCCAAATAAAAGGATTGGTTTTAGATTGTAGGATTTTTGCTAATGTGATCAAGGCATTCTGCAGGAAGGGTCCAACAGAATGCACAGATATGTCACAATTGTGCTTTGTATTGGATAGGATGCTTGGAATTGGGTAATCATTCTGTGGCATGGGTCTGTAACTTTGAAATGTTGGAGCTCTGCTGATTCTTTTTCGCTACCTTGCATGGTATAGGTCTCATTATTTAACTTGTATGGTTGTACCACCAGCTAATAGCTGTTGAAGGTTAGATGTGCCTTTGATTTCTTCATGTAACTCTTTGTCATACATACACTTGTAAAATACAATCTGTGATCTGAGAATTAATCATATTCGGCTCTGGAGTTATGTACTTACATGTAATGTTCTATCCTTCAGTTTTGGAACTATTCTGCTCATAACCTGTGTGTTCAGTTAGTTCATTCAACCAAAATAGTGTCTGTGGCAAAGGATGACCTGCGTTGATACCCTATGCTGGACTCATGGTCACTTAAGTTGCGGCTTGCGGGTGACAGATTATTAGCACTTTCCCTTCTATCTAGTCGAAAGACTTATTGCAGCAAAACATGAAACAACCAAGAGTCTTGTTGACTATTTTTAGTGCTGATGATGTATTGCTGTATTAAGAGTTCTGGAAGCAGATACAACGCTTAATGCTTTGCTTCTCCTAGATTGAAGAATCAAGGTAGAGCACCTGTTGTTCATTATGTTCACTTAATATTCTTTTCTTTTTAATAAGGCCACGTATACTAAAATTAACAACAGAGTAAATGAAAGAGATCCAGATGATCAGGATTAGCGTCTGAAGAACTGGACAGCTGGAGTTGTGATGTCTCTTAGAGCATGTAAAATTTGAGCACTAGCATAGGTTCTAGCTTGAGGCACCACGCTACCATATTGAGAGACCTAGTGTGTGCATTTGAGGTTGCATTTGGTGGCACTAGAAAATCTTTGTGATTTGGGGATTTCTTGTTACTCTTGGTGATTGCCATCACCTAGATGGCTTGGTAGATTGTGGTCTCCGTTGTGAAGTCCGCGTGGTGATTGTGTGTGGCTCCGGAGAAGGCTTGTGAGGGGTGTTGTGCTCGCCCCGCAGGAGACGCAAAGAGCAACTCTAGTTGAGCGAGACGTGAAGAGCATCAAGTGGTCCGGCCGGGTCGAGGGCTAGAGCTCGTGGTGAGCACTCCACGTGGGAGAGTGTGACCGGTGGGTCACCACTAGCAAGAAGACCGGCGGCAACCTTAAGCTTGTCTCAACGGGGAATAGGTGGTTGGTAAGTCACCAAACCTCGGGATAAAAATCATGGTGTCAACATTGTTCATCCCGTTGGTTTGCTTACTCCCAACACAAGCTTGTATTTACTCTCTCATGTATTATGCTGTAGAGAGAAGCAAGGTTAGAAAAGGCTATAGAAAACCTCTATGTCTCACTTCTAGTTTCAACTCATCTTCGTCGTAAATTTTTTATAAGGTGTCTCCAACAGTTTGGTGAAGTCACTCCCAATCTTGATTTTTTGATATAGTGAAAAAAACTCCTCCAACCGCTTTATGTCCTAACCCGCGATCTATCTACACTTGGAAAATGGAGGCATCATGGGAGGCGAGATTGGATCTTTGGCATTATGTTTACTTCTGCGAATACTACTACGAGGTAGGCTACGCAATGGAGAATTCGGTTTGGAGGTTCTGGGTATGAGTTAGGTGCCGGGGATGGCTGGTTGTGGGGCGGCTGGCAGCGACGGTGTGGCATGAGCGGCGACCAGAAAAATTCAACTAGGCTTGCTTTTTTTAGACGCAAATTATTGAACTGTTTTGTGATAGGGTTATTTTTTACTTTCCAACATTTATTGGAAAGGTTGCAAAACCATTTTTTATTTCGATGTTGTGGAGATGATCTAAGCCGTAAAACATGCCTATACTACCATTGACTGCCCATGAGCCAACATGAACCTAACTCAAAACTGGTCCCACTGAAGAATATAGGTTTTTAGCATCAATTGAACCCTATAAAATAAGAGTGGAAAGCGGAGGTGTGTCAGACCCAGTCCCGCCACCGCATATTAGTAAATATAAATAATAATAATATTTTTTCTAAATTTAGTCAAATTTTAAAAAGTTTGTTTTCTTGAAAACGAGAGGCGGTAGTTATTTTGGAACAAAGACTGTGGAAAAGAGTTCTCTTCACAAACGACTGTCTACAGAGATTACTTGAGTTTATACTTTTTAGTGGCTATTACATCTACGTTTCTGCGCATAAAAGCTGATAGAGTAATGAGATAGAAGGGATCTAGGAGTAATAAATTAGGATTAGACCACTTCTCTTATATATGTTTTAAGTGCCTGATTTATTATTATTGTTCAGGTGATAATTTTTTTTTATCATTGTTTAATTATAATAGTTGGTTTGTTTAAGATTGTAGCTTGAAAATTCACTCACCTATAAAATATAACAACTCCATCTCAAATTAGATTGCTTCACTGATGAAGCACACTTCTTGTTACTATTTTATTACCCATGCCTCCGATCCGATACCATAATATTATCATTCTTTTCCTAACCAAATTTACTTGTGTAGACATATTTTACCATGTATATATTTGCTATGCGTCTAGATATACACTTATGTCTAGATATATAGCAAAACTTATAGATCTAAGAAGATAAAACGACTCGTAATTTGAAATGGAAGGAGTATTATATATTATATATGGTATAGACCGTAGAGCAAAGCCTATTTTTCAACCCGATATCCCACGATTTGACCGCCAACAGAAAACAATATACAGTACATAATTACAGTATAGAAATTTGCTAAACAGAAACAGCCAATCTTTGTTATGGAAATGCACATCACGCACCGCAGCTTTTTAATTGACAAAATTCTAATAGTGCTGTAGTGTACGGCGAGAACTTGCACCTGCAGAGCACGACGCCGGAGGAGGGCCTCAGTGTCGGGGAGGATGTGCACGCCGACGATGCGATGCCAGCGAGATCGTGTGCAAGGGTGGACCCAAGGAGGAATGTGTGCGCGTGGTAGGGTGGTCCTACATGTCGGTACCGTGCAAAAAAATCATCGAGATTTATAAATGACCATGCAGCCCGAGGCACGGCGGCCTGGCACGAGGCCCGCAATTTTGGCCCGGCCTAAGCACGGCACGACCCGAGGGTCATCGGGCTTGGGCTAGCCTGGCATGGGGAAGCAGGCCGTGCCTGGGCCGCTACTCAAGCCCGTGGGCTGGCACGCCACGACCCGGTTTATAGGGGTCGGCCCGGCAGCGGCCCGAAACCTCCCCCCGAGTGGCGAAGCGGCCCAGCGCAGCGACCAGCTGGCCCAGCCCCACAACACCTCACCCCCCGCGTATATAAGCGACGGCCGCGGCGCTCTCCCTCCTCAACCCTAACCCTAAATCATTTCCTCCCCCACCGCCTCGTCACTCTCACCTCGCCTAGCTCTCGCCTCGACCGCTCGACGGCCGACGCCTCGCCGTCTCATCTGCTGGCGTCTGACCTCGCCGACCATGACTCCAGTGACCTCGAATCGCCTGTCGCCGGTGACCTCCCCGGATCACCTCCCTCTCTGCCTCTCCCTTCTCCGTCTCTCTATCTCCCCTCTAGATCTCGGTGATTATGTGAGTTCATTGTCCCCGTCTATCCCGCCTCCGTCGCTCGTCGTCCTTGCTAACCGGTGTGTCGTGTTTTCTAGGTGGCCGTCGTCTTCTCCGACACTAGGCTCCGGTTGCGCAGGTAAAACCCTAACCCTAACCCTCCTCTTCTATCTTCTTCCATTGATGTATTCTGATGTGATCTTTTCGTCCTCCTCCATCTCTTTTCCGATGCGTCGTCCTCTAGCTGTGGCATAGAGCGACCAAGACAGCCCCGCGCACCGTTGAGGAACGGTGCTGGAGAGCCGTCCGCCATGGCGGCTGCTGATGACGATATCGTCTGGCCGCTCACCGGCAACGACGACTTGATCGCGGTAGGCCTGCCCCCTGAGGACGACGACGACACCCGAGATGATGCTGCTGCGTTGTTCAGTGTCGATGTCGATAGCGGCTCTGCTGCTCCAATCGATCTGGACGGCGACGGTGGTGAAGGGGCGACGACAACTGGGACCCCGGCCTACTCCAACGACTCAGCTCCATCTGTTGCTGGTAACTCTTCTGGTGTTGGTACTGGTAAGCGTAAATCTGCTGTGTGGGTTGATTTTGATGAGATCTATGAGACTGTGAATGGTAGGAAAAATCTACACTAAAGCTATCTGTAAAATATGTAAGCATACTTTGTCTGCCAGATCTAATGCTGGCACTGGCCACTTGAAGAGGCACCAGAAATCTTGTAGGCAGGAAACTGATCAAGATGCTAGGGTTTAGTCTAGGCTTACTTATAATCCTGATGGTTCTGTGCATAACTGGGACTATAAACCTGATGTTGCTAGATCTGAATTGTGTTGCTTGATTGCTAAGTTTGATTTGTTGTTGGGTATTGGTGAGACAAATGCATGGGAGGAGTACATTGTTCGTGCTCATAACCCTAAGTTTACTAAGGTTTCTAGACAGACCACCACTAGAGATCTTAGTAAGCTATTTACTGAACGTCGTAATATGCTTAAGAATTCTGTGTTATTTGGTGCTTCATATGTTGCTTTGACATCAAACATTTGGTCTGGTAATGTTAAGGAGTACTATATTAGTGTTGTTGTTCATTATGTGAGTGCTGATTGGGAGTTAAAAAAGGTTATTGGTCTGAGGTTGATTGAGGTGAAGCATACTGGTGAAAATACTGCTGAAAAAATTGCTTGTGTGGTTAAGGAATTTGGTTTGATTGACAAGGTTTTCTCTGTAACTCTAGACAATGCTTCTTCTAATGCTAAGGCTATGGATACTTTGACACATATGTTTGCTGGTTATTTGGGTTGTGATCCTTCACCTGAGCCTATAAATCCTAATCAGCGTAAGTATAGTCTTGTGCATGAACGTTGTGCTTGTCATATCATTAATCTGATTGTAAAATTTGGTTTAAAGAGGTTCAAATCTTACACAGAAGATTTTAGAACTGCTATTAATTTCTTAAATTCTTCTAAGCAAATAATTGTTATGTTTAAGAACTATTGTACTGCTC